TGTGATGCCTTGGAGAAACTAACCCCAATGGTTTAGTCTAACTTATATTAAAACATTTTTTCCCCCTCTGGAACAAAATATAAGCTCTACTGTAACCTTGTTCTACAACAAAGACTGCTTAGCCTACTCAGCCAAGTCTCAGCAAATAATTTTAGTTCACCATCTCCATGTTATGATTCTAAATGTAAAACAACTCTCAGATGCTATAATTAGTCATTTACCTTTTCATTTATTCTAATGTCTTTTGGTTGTGAAAAATAAAATGGTCATGTTAACACAAACTTATACACTGAAGAATAAATAGAGGTAGATATAGGTGCTTGAGGAGAAGCAGTATATGGTAAGAGATTAGCAAGCATGCTCTGGAAATAGGAGACATTTTTATTTATCTCTTTCTTCGTCTGACAAGTAAAACCTTTGCAGTTTTGGAGAATTTTAATAGAATAAGACTATGCTGTTTTAGCTAAAAATGGAAATGAAAAAATATTTTGTTCATATGGAAGCAATATTCTTTAGGTTTACTTTTCACCAGTTTTCAAATTTAGTAGGCCAGAGTGCACTACATGGAGATTTTTTGAGGGGATGCTATGTTCCAGGCAATGTGCTAGGATCTTTATGTTTATTTGCCTTTAAACCTCAATGTCCTTAGCTGTACAACAGTAATGACATCTACGGTGCTGTTGTGAGGGATGGAGAAACCAAAAAAGTCCAGTCCTTGGTTTTGTTGATTCAGGTGTTTTTAAGTTGTCTATCATCCATTCATTTATTCATTCAGAGAAACCTTTGTGGTGTATCTGAATTCCATATTTCTTTATATTCACTATCATTCGTATTCCTTTATTCCAGGAGCTAGAAATAAGGCTAGGAATTTGGGACCAATTATTCTGTAGAGACAAAGCATTCTTGATATTTTGGTATTTTTCAAAATTAGATAAATTAAACAATTTCTTGATTTTGCTAGATCCAAAACCCTTGCCCTGGCCTGTAAGTGCGTGTGTGATCTGGCTACACTGATTCCTTGACTAGAGAATGTTCATTTCTTTAGAAAGAGCATAAGAATAGAATTTAGAGGTTCAGTAACTAAGAAAGGTCCATCTTGATTTCTAAAATGAGCCAGGAAAGAATCATA